TATGTTTTATATTCAATTAACGTATGATCTGATTAGTCGACTAATCGAATAAATAATCGGTGAATAATCGATTATTAAAATAATCGTTTGTGACAGCCCTAATTGGAAGCCTGATGGTACTGGTCCAGCTTTTCCCCCATCACAAAGTGGGACAATTTGAAATAAAATGTCCAATGTTTATTGCAGTTCTTGTGATACTGACATTGGAACAAGCGGTTCGTCACATATTGTGCAACACTACTGCTGACTGTGAGTTTGATATAAAAGTAACGACACAGACGTATGCTGTTTGTTTCTCCAACACTGAGAGTAGATCTGAATCACACATGTGTTACATTAAATACACACAGGCCTCTTAAATGCATTACAGGAAGTTTATGTAGTTTAACACCAGATTTCCAGAAGGATGTTGGCTAGTTAGTTAGCTGAATTTCAGCAAGCCAGAGTTTTCTGATGAACATTATTCCATCCATTTTCTTTCTGTTATGTCTGCTCAATAAAGTAATTTGCTTTAAAATATTTGATGAGTTTTGTTTGTTTACTTAATGTTCCGTTTCCTAACTTGCATTTGATTTATCTGTTTTAATCAACAATGACCATCACCAGCTCTATATAATTTAGACATACGTCCACAAAGAAAAGTGAAATAAGACTTTAAAAAAATCTACTTCCTTATTCCTGTTAAGAGAATAAAAGCTGAACATGATAAAACACACATCAGCAGGGAGTATAGCAAGATTATTTTCACAACATGCATATAAAAAACAATAAAAAGCCAAAAACGAGCTAAAGTATCTTTATTCAATTTAAAAAAAAAAAGTCACCAGCTCGTCTTGGCAGTTATTCGGTTAGCAGCTAGCTAGCTAGCAAACATTCTCCTACTTGTTTATTTACGAGCCAGAACAGACAGGAAGTCTCAACAAATCCAACAACACGAGTGAGTACACAACAACTACCATTAGGAGCAATTTTAGTTGACCATTCAACACATGTGAGGCGTGGCTGAGCTCTGCAACAAGGCTAACTCTGGTTAGCTTGGTGGACCGCTCGGCCCGTCAGCCGCAGCGTTTCACTCCGCCACACCGAGCCGGCCGCAGCGTTAGCTTCAAACCCGGGCAGGCTGCGGCCGTCCAGTCAGAAAAATCTTCCGTTTACCTTTTACCGTCGGATCAGGGAGTAACAGTGCAGGGTAGAAGGTATATAAATCTCCTCACTGACCTGTAAACTAACAGCAGACACATGCGGGAGCAAGATGGAAGCGAGAGAGGAAGGCGGAAGTGACGTGCAGAAAGAAGGGCGTCGACTTTGGGTATTTGACGCCCCGAGTTTTGTTTTGCAGGTCAAAGGCAAGATTGGACTTTTCCCACGATTTTAATGGTCTAGAAATGTACAGTGCTGTGCAAAATTAAAGAATGCTTTCCAATTTCTTTACTTTTTTCTCCCAAACAGCCATACTTTCATGTAATATGTTAAAGTAGTCAAAAAGAAAAAAACTGTATAGGTCCTCTGGACGGGTTCTTCTCTAATGAAACGTTTCGTCTCTCCTCCAAGAGACTTCTTCAGTCTGAGAGTTTCAGGCTAAATTCAGGCTTTTAAGCCCTGCCTCCATGTGACTGATACTCACAGGCTTTTAAGCACTGCCTCCATGTGACTGATACTCACAGGCTTTTAAGCAGTGCCTCCATGTGACTGATACCCACAGGCTTTTAAGCACTGCCTCCATGTGACTGATACTCACAGGCTTTTAAGCCGTGCCTCCATGTGACTGATACTCACAGGCTTTTAAGCACTGCCTCCATGTGACTGATACTCACAGGCTTTTAAGCCCTGCCTCCATGTGACTGATTTTCACAGGCTTTTAAGCACTGCCTCCATGTGACTGATACTCACATCCGTATCAGTCACATGGAGGCAGTGCTC